TTTTTCTTTTTGCTATTTCAAATGGGATTTTTTCCTTGATTTCTGCTGTTTCATTGTTTGTGTACAGAAATGCCTTTGATTTCTGGATATTGACTTTGTATCCCGCTGTTTTGCCAAATTCATTTATTAGGTCAAGCAGTTTTTTTGGCTGAGTCTATAGGATTTTCTGTGTATACTATGATGTCATCTGCAAACCTTGACAGTTTTGTTTCCTCCTTTCCAATTTGGATGCCTTTTATTCCCTTTCCTTGTCTGATTACTATAGCTAAAACTTCCAATACTATATTGAATAGAAGTGGTGAGAGTGGACAACCTTGTCTTGTGCCTGACCTTAGTGGAAAAGATTTTAGTTTTTGCTCATTGAGTATGATGTTACCTTTAGGTCTCATATATGGCCTTTATTATGTTGAGAAATGCTCCCTCTATTCCCACTTTGCTGAGTATTTTTTATCATAAATGGGTTCTGTACCACATCAAATGCTTTTTACGCATCTATTGATATGATCATGTGGTTTTTGTCTTTGCTTTTGTTTATGTGATGTATTACATTTACTGATTTGTGAATATTGTACCATCCTCACATCCCTGGGATGAATCCCACTTGGTCGTGGTGTATGATCTTTTCAATGTATTGTTAGATGCGGTTTGCCAATATTTTGTTGAGGATTTTAGCATCTATGTTCATTAGCGATATTGGCCTGAAGTTTTCTCTCTCTGTTGTATCCTTATATGGTTTTGGGATTAGGATGATGCTGGCTTCATGAAAAGAGTTTGGGAGTCTTCCATCATTTTGGATTGTTTGGAATAGTCTGTGAAGGATAGGGGTTAGATCTTCCTTAAATGTTTTATAGAATTCTCCTGTAAAACTGTCCGGTCCTGGGCTTTTACGTGTTGGGAGTTTTTTGATTACTGCTTCAATTTCTTTTGCTGTTATTGGTCTGTTCAGGCTTTCTGCTTCTTCTTCATTGAGTTTTGGAAGATTACATTTTCCTAGAAATCTGTCCATTTCACCTAAGTTTTCAAATTTCTTGGCATAGAGTTCTTCATAGTAATTTCTTACTAGTTTTGTTTCCTCCTTTCCAATTTGGATGCCTTTTATTCCCTTTCCTTGTCTGATTACTATAGCTAAAACTTCCAATACTATATTGAATAGAAGTGGTGAGAGTGGACAACCTTGTCTTGTGCCTGACCTTAGTGGAAAAGATTTTAGTTTTTGCCCATTGAGTATGATGTTGGCTGTAGGTCTCATATATGGCCTTTATTATGTTGAGAAATGCTCACTCTATTCCCACTTTGCTGAGTGTTTTTTATCATAAATGGGTTCTGTACCATATCAAATACTTTTTACGCATCTATTGATATGATCATGTGGTTTTTGGCTTTGAAATACAGTCCTTTGTATTTCTGTGGTATCAGTTGTAATCTCTCCCCTTTCATTTCTGTTTGTGTTCATTTGGGTCTTCTCTCTTTTTTTTCTTTATGAGTCTGCTTACAGGCATGTTGATTTTGTTTACATTTTCAAAGAACCAGCTTCTGGATTCATTGATCCTTAGAATTGTGCTTTTAGTGTCTATGTCATTTAATTCTGCTCTGATCTTGGTTATTCCCTTCCTTCTACTTGCTCTGGACTGTCTTTGTTATTGTTCCTCGAGTTCTTGTAGATGTAGGATTATGTTGTTTGTTTGAAATGTTTCTATCATTTTTTGGTGGGCCTGTATCGCTATGAACTTCCCTCTCAGGACTGCCTTCACTGTGCCCCATGAGTTTTGGGTTGTTGTGAGTTCATTTTCATTTGTCTCCAGAAACTTTTTGATGTCTTCCCTAATTTCATTCTTGACCCATTCATTATTTAATATCATGCTATTTAATCTCCATGATTTTGCGTGTTTTGGGTTTTTTCCCTTGGGGTTGCTTTCTAGTTTCATTCCCTTGTGATCCCAGAAGATGCTTGGTATGATTTCAATTTTCTTGAAATTGTTAAGGCTTGTTTTGTATTCTATCATGTGGTCTATCTTTGAAAATGTTCCATGTGCATTTGAAAACAATGTGTATTTAGCTTCTTTGGGATGGAGGGCTCTCTCTCTCTCTATATCTATATATCTATATATCTATATCTATATCTATATCTATATATATATATATCAGTTAAGTCCATTTCATCTAGGGCATTGTTCAATGCTACAATATCTTTGTTGATATTTTGTTTGGAAGATCTGCCCATTTTTGACAGTGGGGTGTTAAAATCCCCTACTATAATTGTGTTGCTGTCAATATTTTTCCTTAAGTCCTCTAAGATTTTATTTATGTATTTGGGTGCTCCTATGTTGGGTGCATATATATTTATAATGTTTATGTCTTCTTGGTGGATTCTTCCCTTGAGTATTATGAATTGACCTTCTGGGTCTCTCTTTATGGCCCCTTTTTTGAGGTCTAATTTGCCTGATGTAGGTATTGCTACCCAGGCTTTTTTTTTCCTGTCTGTTTGCTTGGAAAATTTGTTTCCAGCCCTTCACTTTCAGTCTGTGTAGTTCTTTTATCCTGAGGTGGATCTCTTGTAGGCAGCATATGTGTGGGTCATGCTTTCCTATCCATTCAGCTATCCTGTGTCTTTTGATTGGAGCATTTAATCCTTTTATGTTTAAGGTTATTATTGATAGGTAATTATTCATTGCCATTTTCATACCTGAGTTCCTCTCTCTGTCTCTCTTTTCCTTCCTTTCCTTAGAGCAGTCCCTTTGGCATCTCTTGCAGAGCTGGTTTGGTGGAGGTGTATTCTTTCAGACTTCTTTTGTCTGATAAGCTTCTTATTTGGCCTTCTATCTTGATTGAGAGCCTTGCTGGGTAAAGTAGCCTTGGTTGCAGGCGTCTGCATAGTTCTCACTACTTGGAATATTTCTTGCCATTCTCTTCTGGCTTGGACCATTTCCATTGAGAAGTCCAGTGTTAACCTTATTGGGTCTCCCTTGTATGTTACTTCCTGTTTCTCCCTTGCTGCTTTTAGGATTCTCTCTTTGTCTTGGTATTTTGCCATTTTAATTATGATAGGTCTTGAAGTGGGCTTCTTTGGGTTCGTCTTGATTGGGGGACTCTCTGTGTTTCCTGGATTTGTGTGATGTTTTCTCTCATCAAATTAGGGAAGTTTTCCATCATTACTTTTTCAAATAGGTTTTCTATCCCTTGCTCTTCTTCTTCTTCTGGTATCCCTATTATATGGATATTATTACATTTCATATTGTCTTGCATTTCTCTTAATCCCTCTTCATTCTTTCTGAGCCTCTTTTCCTTTTCTTGCTCTTTCTGGGTGTTTGTTCCTACTTTGTCCTCCAGCTCGCTGATCCGATTTTCTGCTTCATCGATCCTGCTTTTCATTCCTTCTACTGTATTCTAACAGTTCAGAAATTGTATTCTTAGAGGGGGGAGGGAGGGAGAAAGAGAGAGAGAGAAACATCGATGTGCGGTTGCTGGGGGCCGTGGCCTGCAACCCAGGCATGTGCCCTGACTGGGAATCGAACCTGCGATGCTTTGGTTTGCAGACCACACTCAATCCACTGAGCTATGCCAGCCAGGGCAGAAATTGTATTCTTCATTTCCTCTTAACCCTTGTTGATAGTTTCTATTTCCTTTTTCATGTTGATATAGTTTGCAGTGAGTTCATTGTAGTTTCCCTGTACTTTCTGGTAGCTCACTGTGAGCTCATTGAACTTCCTGATAATCATTACTTTGAACTAAGTATCTGATCGTTGAATTGTCTCTATTTCATTTAGCATTCTTTCTGAAGCTTCCTCCTTTCCCTTAATTTGGGGATTGTTTCTTTGTCTTTCCATTGTTTGTGAGACTTCTTGTTAGCCTCAGCTTCTTAAATTGATCTGTTCTGGCTCCCTGGGTTTATGGTGTGAACTTCTGTGGTAGAATACCTGTGAGATTCAGTGGTGCAGTCTCTTTTGGGCATCCTGTTTTTCACAGCTTCCACCTACTCTTTTTTTTTGTGATCAGTTGGGGGGGATAAGGGAAAATGGTTTAAGACAGCAAGAGCGTATTCTATGATATTTACAGTAGCAGTCAGTAGAGAACAGATAGGAGATCCTTTGGCTATGTATAGTGTTAACTGTGATATTCCACCCAACTAGCCACTTTTTAGAAAGGATGGAAAGAAGATAAGACTCTTGTTGGAGAGGGAAGGATTGTGAGTTGGATCTAGAAAGCAGTGAGGTTGTGGTAGGTCAGATTCTGAGGTATAGTGACAGTAAAGGATAGTAAATAGGTGTAGTGTGTGAGAGAACAGAGTTAACCACTACAGTAATAGATTTTAGTAAATTGTGAAGTGGGCTAAGGTCTGGGGGGGTGTTGTGTAATATTTACAATTGTATGGAATAGGTCTTATTTACAGTAATATTAGAGCAACAATCATATGAGAGAATATATGAGATCTAGATAACAAGAATAGGTAGTATAGAACCTTGAGTAGTGTGCTAATGGAACACAACTGAAGTGAAGGACAATAAATTAGCAAGACACTATGAATGTGATAACAGGGGAAACCTGTCAAATGATACAATATAACCAGCCAAGCAAAGAAGAGTATACAGAAAGAGGAGGAATACAAAAATACTATTAAAATAAAAGATGTAAGAACAATGAAAAAATAATAATACAAATATGCAATAACTCACAGGTTTTCCATAATAGTAAAGTGAAATCTGGCCCAGTGTCTCAGCTGTTGGGATGCCCTCTGTTTGGTTCCAACTCTGGTCTTTTTACAGTTTCAGTTTTTTTTGTGTGTCACTTGTGGGTATTTAAAAAGGAAAAAGGAAAAAGAAAAAAGCAGAAGGAGGAAGGAGAAAGAAATAAAATTGGAAAGAAAGGAAGAAGGAATAAAACTAGAAGGAAGGAAAGAGAAGCAAAAGGAATTGAGAGATATAAAAATAATAAAAATTAAAAAATAAAAAATTACTTAAAAATCAAACAAACAAAAACAAACAAACAAACAAACAACCTCTTGCTGGTGTTGAACTGGCCAAACTGGTTTTTCTGGTCTTGCTGGCTACAGCAGATTGAGGGGTGATTGGTTTCTCTTTTTTCCCTTCCTGTTCAGTCAGCCTCGCAGGTAATCTCCCCAGAGCCCGAGCCAGCCAGCACCTCTCTGCAGGGCCCTGGATGTGGAATCCGAGCCTTCCCAAGCGCACTCTCCCCAGGTTAACAGGTGCAAGCTTCGGGTCTCCTGCTAAGCGTGTGCCTTCCCCGGGTCCACAGGTGTGAGCTCTGGGGTTCTTGCGTAAGGCATGCACCCTCCTTGGGTTTAGGGCTGTGGGCTCCAGGGTTTCCATGGAGAGTGGGAGTTTTCCCTGCGTTTATGGGTGTGGCCTCCAGGTCTTCCACAAACCACCCTCTTCCCGGGTTGGGGGCACCAGTGCGGGCACGCGGCCAGGCCGCCCTTGGTTGCATGGGCTCAGGCACCCACTCTTCCCAGGGCTATGAGTGGGTGCTCACAGCCCCTGTGTGTTGCCACTCAGTCCTCACTCCCCTCTCCGCACCTTCAATCAACCAGGTCTCCCCACGTGGTTCCCAATCCTTGTTTGGCCAGGGAGGGAGGAGTTGACCCAGCTATCTCCCAATAGCTTTGTGTCAGATACAGCCAACGCTTGGGCAGGGGCTCTGGCCTCCCTGGTCCTCGTGCTGATCCCTGGGCCCTTATTGTCCTGAAGCACTCTCCTTACTGTCTGGTTTTTCAATGTCTGCTGCAATTTTTAATCTCCTATTTTCATATATGCTGTGGTACTTTTGGCTGTTTTCTCTGTTCTTCTGTAGATTAGCTAGGTTTTTCTTCCTTGTGTAGGAGCAAGTGGAATCTGCTCCCTCCTACCACACTGCCATCTTCCCTCCGATTGTTGTGTTTTCTAATCCATTCAGCTTCTATGTCTTTTGATTGGCGCATTTAATTCATTTACATTTGAGGTTATTATTGATAGGTACTTATTCATTGCCAGTTTTTCCCTTTCTACCTGTGTTTCTCTCTCTCTCACTCAATTCCTTCATCTTCTTAAAGCAGTCCCTTTAGCATGATTTGCAACGCTGGTTTGGTGGAAGTATATTATTTTAACCATCTTTTGTCTGGGAAACTCCTTATCTCGCCTCCCATTTAAAATAATAGCCTTGCTGGGTGGAGTAGTCTTTGTTGCAGGCCTTTGCTTTTCACTGCTTGGAATATTTCCTGCCATTCCATTCTGGCTTGTAGTGTTTCTGTTGAGAAATCATCTGCTAGCCTTATTGGAGCTCCCTTTTACATTACTGTTTCTCCCTTGATGCCTTTAAGATTCTCTCTTTGTCTTTAAAATTTGGCATTTAATTATGATGTGCCTTGGAGTAGGCATCTCTGGATTCATCTTGATTGGGACTCTGTGTGCTTCCTGAATTTGCATAGCTTTTAACCCTTCTTCAAGTTAAGGAAGTTTTCTGTCATTATTTTTTCAAACAGATTTTCTATCCCTTGCTCCTTTTCTTCTTCTTCTGTTATTCCTATGATGCAAATGCTGTTACGTTTCATGTTGTCCTGAAGTTCCCTTAAACTATGCATGCTTTTTGAGTCTTTTTAAATTTTGTTTCTCTACTTGGGTATTTCTTTCTACCTTGTCTTCTAACTTGCTGATTCAGTCTTCTGCTACATCCAGCCTGCTTTTAATTCCTTCTAGTGTATTTTAAATTCCAGATATTGTATTCATTTATTCCTGGTTCTTGTTTTTAGTTTCTATTTCCTTTTTCATACTGTTGTATTCCCTACTCAGTTATTTGTAGCTGTCTGTGAATTCCTTGGGCATCCTTATAACCATTCTTTTAATTCTGTATCTTATAGTTTGCTTGCCTGAATTTCATTTAGCTCTTTTACTGGGGACTCTTCCATTCCTTTCAATTGCAGGTTCTTTCTTTGTTTCCCCATTGTAGGTTAGTCTTTTTGTCTGTTTATCTAATTCCAGATGCCCTGCTTTGCCAGCTGTCTTCATAGGGTGAAGTTCTGTGCTAGGGGTTCTGTGGGACTCAGTTTTGCAGTCTCCTTGATCTACTTGCATGGATGCTCTTAGTTTTCCTTTTCTTCCCTTTGTGTGGGCTCTGTTGTTGTACTTGGGCTTTACCTGTTGGTGGATCCTTTGTTGGTGGGTTCTCCCCTCCAGCAGGCTTACTGGTATTCACAACTCCCACCTTGTCTTGTATGATGTTTTACAGGTATTGGTTAACAAAGTAGGATTGCCAGACAACCAAGCCTATGCCAGCAAAGAGAACCCCCCACCACATCAGTAGTCTCCACTGCAATTGAACTAAGATTAATAAAGGTGAAGAGAGATTGTGGATACTACATGATATGACTAAAGGGACTATGAGATGACTAAAAGAGAGGAAAATGTTGTGTGGTAAGAAGGAGGAGAATTTATAAGAGTTGGTATATAGCCAAGGTGAAGAAAGGGAGAGAGTAAAATTTACAACATAAGTAAAACACAAAAGGGCGATGGGAACAATGGATTAAGAAGAGGGAAGAGTATATTATGAAGTTTTAAATAAAATTGAAAAGGTACTGGGCCAGCGGGAACAAAATTTCAAAGAAACCTCAGCAGGGTTCATAGCAATGACAGCTGAATGAAGTTTAATAAAGGTAGGACAGGAATAAGAATATTGTAGAAAAGCAATAAGTGAATATAAGATGTTTAGAGTAAGGAAAAATGTTTTTGAGAGGATGGAGGAAGCAAACTAATATGATTAAGGAGTAAAGCCCAGGTTGAGTGGGGGGAACACAGAGAGGAAAACAATGAAATAAAATTCCTCACTCAACTGAACAGGGGGGCAGGGGAAGGTGTAATGGAATAAGACAGCAGGAGAGTATTCTATGGGATTTAAAGCACAAACAAGTAGTAAACAAATAGGAGTTCTGTTGGAGAAGCACAGCAATAACCATGATATTTCACTTAACTAGCCACTGTTTATAAAAGGTGAAAAAGAAATAAGACTCTTATTAGAAGGGAAAGAATGTGAGCTGACTTAAGAAGAACGCTTATGTGAGATTAGATGGAGGGCAAATAGTGAGAGTAAGGGATAGAAACTTGGTGTAGTGTGAGAGAAAATAAAGCTAACCACAACAGTAATAAAGCTCAGGAAGATGGTAAAATGGATTAAGACCAGAGAAGGGTGCTGTGTGGGATTTGGAATAACAATAGTATGATAAGAAATATATCATCTGAATAAAAAGAATAAAAAGTAAAAGGCCAAGAGTAGTGTGTTATTTGGAGTATGAATGAAGTGAAAGAAGAAAAATTAAAATGCAATATGAAAGGGAGAACAAAAAAAAACAAATCAAACAATAAAAACAAATAAAAAAACTAAATAAGCAGAAAGGAAAGAAATTAAAAAATGCAATTTCTGAAGAATAGCAAAATGAAATTTGTCTCAGCTGTTGGTGTTTGCCTTCTGACTTCTTTCTGGATTCTTCTCTGGTTTTCTTACAGCTCCAGGTCTTATTTTCTTACTCTCGGAAAAAAAATCCTCCTGTTGATTTTAAACCTGCCAAGCATGTTTTGCATATCTCCCCTGGTCCTGGAGGCAGAGGGGATTGGGCTCTGTTTTTTCCCTTTCCTGTGGTTCCTCAAGGATGGAGGCTCAGTCTTGATGACAATAATCACAGGTGCTGTTTCCAGCCCACGCCCTCAGAGCACTGTGCAGCCCACTCTGTACTTTTGTGCCAGGCTGGTGCTGATAATTCATCTTGTTTTGCAACCTTTTGATCAGTCTGTGTGGTGCCCTGAGTGGGAGCAAATCACTCTCACTCTCCTCCCTTTTTGCTGGCTGGGCTACTCTACGTGAAGTCCTTTGGCACGTGAGGCTCAGTACCCCTTTTGAGAAAAGTCCCTTGGGGACAGCCTGCCGCTCCTAACAAGAGCTCAGCTTTCCACACAGTCCAACTCTCTGACCAGTTCAGAGACTATCTGTGTCATGGCCAGTGGTGGCCTCTCTCTTCTTCCAGCTCCAGATGTCACCTGGCTCCCCAATTGCTCTGGTATTGTCTCAGCTGGCAACCTCCTGTGTGTCTTTTACTGCCTTTTTATCCCCCTAGCAACTTTCTGCATCCAGGTCTCTCCTGGTGCTGATCTGGGACTTCCCTGCTCTGGGAGGGGAGGGAGATGCTAGGTTGCTATCACTGACCTGGCTCTCCTCCAAAGCTCCTGGGGCAGCTGCAGTCTCTGGCAAAAGGGCCAGGGACCTTCCTGTTGGCATACAAAATCTATTTACTGCCTGTTTTTAAGTGTCCTCTGTATACTTTGTCATCCAAACTTCTTATCAGTTGGGATTATGTTGGCTGTTCACTCTGTTCTTCAGAAGATTGGTTAGGTGACCCAGTTGGGTGCACAAGTAAGTGAGCTCACCTCCCACCTACATCACTGCCATCTTCCTATTCCCAACGAAATCTTTAAAAATGCCAATATCCTCAATAGCAGAATTATCATCCATTGAGTAGGAAAAGAGGCAGGGTTGAGCCAAAGGGAGTTGATCCAGTGTTGAGACATAAAGGTGATTCTTTGGGGTCTGTCCACTGGTCTTCATATTTGGGAAAAATTTGTGTCAGGGACCTTATTATATAATAGGCCAGCAGAAAGAACATGGACCATGACTAAAAGTTGTGTGCTATTCTTATGGGTTGCTAGCCTCTGTATATTTCTTCACATGGTCAGCTATAGAGCCCCCCAAATGAGAAGGGCTTAAGTGTTGGTGAGCCCTGAGGAAGGAGAAGGCTAGGTAGACTGTGGCCCCTTTTTATAACCACAACTATGGAGAGTAGAAGAGATAGCAACTTTAGAAAGCAAATGAAAGGAAGCAGGGGACTTGTAGCCTGCTGTAAAGAAAGGAATATGGACACTTGTCTGGGACTGAGAAGGGGCTCTTGTAGTCTTTGATTCAACCTGGACATTAAAATTGTCCAGGAAAGAAGGAACCAAATAGAATTCTGTGTGGACTTTCTTCTCAGCTCTTAAATACTTCAAAGGCTACAATTAGATACAGATTTGATAGCTTTAAAATTCTCTGACTATAAAACACCTATTGCTAGATAAATTCTTTCTTTCTTCCTCTCTCTCTCTTTCTTTTCTTTCTCCTTCCTTCCTTTTTATTGAATTTATTTGAGTAGCATTAGTTAATAAAATTATATGGGTTTCTAGTATACAATTCTGTAATACTTCATCTGTGTATATATTGTATTGTGTGTTTACTGCACAAAATCAAATCTCCTGTCACCATATATTTGACCCCCTTTACCCTTTACCACCTCCTCTCACCCCCTTTCCCTGTAGTA